TGAAATTCTATAATTGAAACTAATTTTCATTTAAATTTTCAATAGCAACAAATGGGCTTGAATCTGAGAGTCACGCGTAGCTGGGAAAATCAAAGTGATGCGAGACTTGCACATTGCTCATTTGAGTCTTTTTTGAGGGGTTTCCTCACACTAAGAGAAACAGATCCAGACTGGGTGTACCATACAGCAGGCCTCGCTCATAGGAGCTCCAAGGGTTGAGTGTGTCAAAGATCTCCCCAAGCAGATCCATCTCTTCAGGATCACACAGCAGTGACTCTTCACCCTCTTCTTTATCCTTCTGGTACTTAGTATCAGGCTCAGTCACAGGCCCAGACATAGCTCTGATATCAAACAGATGGCCCAAACAAGAAGATATATGCTGTGTATTATTGTCTATAATGGAATTAGAGCAGGAAGGGTTTCCACATGTCGACAGTGGTGCGATGGGTAGAGGAAGGCTGAAGGTTTGATTCTCAGTGCCTGCAGTCCACATGTCAAAGTGTCCTTGTGCAAGACACTGAACCCCCCCGTTGCCCCCGATGGTTTGAGCCATCAGTTGAGGTGGCGCTGCAGATGGGTGCCATCGGTTCTGTACTGGAAACAAATTCCTTGTGTGTAACATACTTGGCCAATAAAGGTGATTATCCTTATCCTTATGCCTCTGTTTGTCAACCCTGCTGGTGGAAGGAACTCAGAGCCCTTAAGTAAAATTAGCAATAAATGTTCAGAATGGCTCCTTTCAGAGAGTTAATGTAACACTGTTGTTAGTTTGATTGGTATGGAGCCAGTTTTAACGACTTGATATACTGTAATTTTGTGTCTGGCTTATTCTCCATGTTTCCTTATTTACAAAGTATTTATCTCAGGTTTATTTACCACCAGCATGCACCTGCGCTGAGAGGTTCCAGAGCCAGAGTACTTGAGTAAATGTACTTAGTTACTGCTCACCCATCCCATGTGTCTCCAGTGTCTTTCATGTCCTCATCCCCAGGAGTCCTAATTTTAAAAGCAGGCAGACTGGGACAGGACTAACATGTGGCAACGTGGTAACAAAGCAAAGGGAGACCACAGCAGCATCCCCAAACACACATGACAACTACTTCTTCGGAGAACTCTCTGGTGGAGAGTCCTCACACAAAAGTGGTACTCAAAATCAGAATGGCAGAAGCCAACCAGGTTACAGGTAGCGATGGCCCTTTGACACCCGAGGCTCCGACAAATGCGCGGTAGCTCATAAAGCAATTGTTTCGAATCACTGTGCTGAGGCGTGTTTCGGTCACGTGACGAGTGACGTTTGAATTACTTGAGTGACGTCCAAAGCAGTTGGGTTCGTCGGACGTCAGGTGAATCAGCTGATTGGTTTGGTTTGTCATGTGAATCACTTTGGATCGATAGGATATCCCTATTTAGTGGTGTTCATTTGAATCTGTCTTTTCAGAGTAGGTTGGTTTGTTGCTGTTGTGGCATTAGTTGCTTTGAGAGTTAGTGTTGTAGCAGATTGTGTATTTAGTGGAGAATCACTGTGGATAGAGAGATAGATCAATAGGTAAATCAGGTATCTCAAACCACTGGCAAACAGTTCATAACACAAGGTAACGCACAAAATCACAATAGCAGGCAGCCCACAAAGTAGTGATGGGCAGATGAAGCTTCATGAGGCATTGAACCCTTTCATCCAATTGGTTCACTCCAGCGCAAAGCTTTTTGAAGCTTCATTTGCTCTAGGAGGACATCTACTGGATGCAACAATATCAGTTGGCATGAATTTGAAGTGTGTGGCATTTTGCAGAAAGCCTGTGAATAAAACTGTATGCAAAATAAAGAAGTATGCAAAACATGTATATTGTAGTGATGGCAGTATACTGTGTAT